GTGTCTGGTTTTTAGAATTACTTGAATGCTCTTTAGTAAGTTCAAAATAGGTGACCGCTAAGGGTTCTAGGAGGTCTAAACATAATTTCAAAAAGACAAAGTAAGTAAGCACTGAGAAATTCATTCAGATCTTATAAACAGTCATTGCCCACTCCTGTCACTGTCAACACATGTAAATGAACAAGGTGGTTTTTCTGGGCCGTCTGGATGTATATACATTCCTTGGCCCATGAGATCTCCACACTTAGTTCAACCGTGGGAAAATACACGTAAACGTTTTGAGTCTATAAAGTGCATAGCAATAGTAAGACTGTAGATTTCTTTTCACTTACAGCCTCATCTCTCTTGCCTCAGATTTTATTTGCTGTGTGTCCTTCTACCACAAAGAACCGGCTTTTGTACTCACACCTGAATTTGAATCTAGTTTTACTTCTTCTTCTTTTTTTTTGTTTTACTTCTGTGGACTGAGTCCTATTTCCTATCACCATCCTTTTTAATATAGGGCTGATGGCTCCATGTCTCAGGGTTGTGAGAATCGCATGTCTTGCGCTGTGTCTTGGGTAATAAATGCTTGTTATTATTACCCTCATAGCTTGCCTATAATATTTAATATGGAAACTTCCCAGCATGCACAAAACTGGAGAGAATAGCTTATTGACTTTCAAAGTACAAGCTTCAACAGTTATCCGCCCCTGCCACTCATGTTTCATCTACCCCCATCCACTCCCCAGATAATTTTAAAACAAATCACAGATATCATGCCATTCATCCATTAATATTATAATATGTCTCTCTGAAGGCAATCCTTTTAAAAGGATAACAGTAAAATATTATCAGAGCTAATCATTTCTAAATAGTGTCAAATACCCAGTAGTTCATATTCAAATTTCCCAATTGTCACACAAGGTTTGGAGTTTTATTTTTTTTAACAGTTTGTTTAAATCTGCATCTAAATATGGTACATATCCTTTAATATTTTATTGGAAATATAATTAAGGTGTGGGAAGAGATTTTGCTATAAGAATGTTCATTGCAGTGCTGTTTGAAATGGGGAAAAAGTAAGATAACTTAATCTTAGATGAGTTATCTAATCTTAGATGAGTAACCCACAAAAAGGATCTACAACCTGACAATAGAACACATACAGCAATTGAAAAGGATACTGTAGAAAGATGCTATAATGAACAGAAAAGGTATTGGTAAGTGAGAGAAGTGGGTTATAAAACAGTATTTATACTTTCTATTTTGTTAATAAAGTATATATCTCAGAGGCCATGTATCTGAATGCTGAGGAAATGAGCAATTTTAATTTGCTCTTAGATTTTAGAATTAAATCTCATCTCTCTACGACGATCACGTATTACTCATGTAATAAAATGTTATTAAAGATAGAAATGCAGCAGCAGTGTCTCTTGGCAGTCGTTGGGTTTCATGCAGAGGTAGTTATGTTTGGCACGCTATGCTTTTTTCTTACCATGTGTTTCCTCATGTGATCTGCAGAGAAGTCCTCTGAGGCAAGAGGAGGCAAAAACCCTGGGAGGGTTTGTGTCTTCACCTGACGCCGGCGTGCAGCTCCACAAAAGCGCATTGAGAGGGCTATTGTTCACTGCTCGGGACACATGATCTCATGCGCTCTTTACATGCCATCCTGCCCACGTGGGAGGCAGAGAGACGTGCTGGGACTAGCCTTCCTTTTACAGAGGGGGAAACTGAGGCACAGAGAACCTGACTTTTTCCTCACACCACCTCTCAGGAAGATCGTAGGGACAGGTTTTGGCCCAGATGTCTGGTGCTGGCCATAACCTTGAGATTACGTTTGGCATCTCTTTGGAGTTTCACCATCTCAGTGTAGGTGTGTGAGGGGTGGGACCTACTCATGTCTGGCCAAGGGAGTGCTGAATCCTGCCTCAGTGTAACATACCACACCGCATTCTGTGGTTTGGGATCTGACCAAACTTGCTCAGGTTTTCCACACCCATTTAGGGTGGGATTGGCTTTTGCTTGTCTCTGCTTTCTGTGAACTGTTCACTTTCTGTCTCCTGTCATCTCCTCTAACCTTTGCTGCTGATGTCTGCAGCCCCTGAGTCTCTCTCAGTAAATGTCTCTTATGCTTAGCTCATGCCTTCCATGGCTCTCTGAGGCCCTTGCCTGGGACCTGCCTGTGTGATGTGCTGTCCCCTGTCTGCTATCCCCACACCAGCCGTCCCCACCACCCATCACACTCCTGCTTCCACGGTCTCCTCTTGGCTGGGCCCCACCTGTGCCCTGGAGCTGGTCCTGACTCCTCCTCGGAATTCTTATTTGCGCCCTGCAATTTAGTTGTCTACTTCTTGTTTTCTAAATATCCACCTTTTCTCCCCTAGACAACGGTGGGCCCCTCACAGGCAGACACTGTCAATATGATGGCAATGAAAACAGCTCTTATATGTGAGTGGGCACTTCTTGGGTACCAGGCCCAGAGCTGAGTAATTAACATATTTATCTCATTCAGGGATGGCAATAAACCTGTGCTACTATCCCATTTGACAGATGAAGAAACTGAAGCTCTGAGAGGTTGAGCAACTTGTCTAAAGTCACCTAGCTGGAAAGAGATAGAGAAAGAATTTTAACCTTATGTGCGCGACTGCAAAGCCCATACTTTTCCACATGGCACATACTCACTGTTGATTGCTTGATTCAGAGTTCCTTGAATGTTCTTTATGGTGATGTCCACGAGGGTCTCATTTCTTGGGGATACAAAAGCCTCCTGCAGATAAGATAGTAAGTACTCTCTCTGTCTGAAGCGTTCAGGCCTTGGCTCCTGTGAGCCCAGCTGGTTGGCTGGGATGCAAACACTCCAAGTTCTGTGAGTCCCTCTCACCCCCACATTCTTGCCTCTGCACATCCTTCAGAACCCCACAACTTCTCTCTCTCTCTCTCTCTCTCTCTCTCTCTCTCTCTCTCTCTCTCTCTCTCTCTCTCTCTTCCTTTTCCCTGGGGACACGAAAACAGCCAGAGGATGCCCCCTAGACCACATGGGTTCCTGGGGCTGCGGTCTGATATCTCTTGATAGAGTTGGTAAGAAAATGGAGCCAGAGATCAGCCAAAGGCCTCGAGGAGAGAATCCAGACTAAGACAGACCCCTCTCCACTCACCAGCTTCGCCCCCCCCGCCCCCCCCATATCCTGTCCCTTCCCAGCCATTCCCCCCCTCCCCCAAATGGAATCTTTCCTTCAGACTCCGGAGCCCCTGGGCTAAGCCCCACCCCGCTCTCAGCATCCTAAAGTTTGGGGGCTGCATTCAAGTGAGAGATTTTCAAGTAAGGGTGTGTTAGAAGGACTTATGCTGAGGGCACGTTTCCTGGAAGAACCGGGAAAAGGGGGCAGCCACCGCCACTGTCTCTGAGGACATCAGCATAGCTCCCTTCCAGACCCTCTACCCTTTCCCCCTCCCACCAGCCCGGGCGAACAGGGACCAAGCTTGCTTACTGTCACCTGACGCTGGGCAGCCGCTGATCCCATTGGTGGAGCCAGATTCAGTCTGGCTCTCCTGTTCCTTCTCGCCTTCTCTGCCTCTCTCTCCTCCACGCCGCTTTGATTTCGCTCTTGCCTCTCCTTGCGCTCGGCTGGAAACATCACCTCTCCGGGGGCAGCAGCGCGCTGCGGACCACGCAGGGGCTGCCCGCGGGGCATGGAAGAAGCCTCCTTGGCAGCTGTGAGAGGAGCAAGAGGAGCCAGCGAGCACTGCTGCCTGTGACCCAGGCGTCTGGCCGCTGCCCCTCTGCCGGGGGAGCCCACCACACAGAGGTCTCTCCTTTCCCTCCCTTCCAGGTCTTCCTCTGCAGAGCCCATCGGAGCCAGGTGAGTGCCCTTCCTCCCCAGAGCGTCCTGCTGTCAATCCCGAGAGGGACTCGGGTGGTTAGGGGCTAGGAGCTGGGGGCACCAGGTCCTGCCACTGCCTGTGGTGCCCACCTGGATTGCCAGGGCAGATGACCTTGTCCCGTTTCCCCCAGGCCCTTGGCCAAGGGGTTAAGAGCTGGATCCGGTCCCCGGGGCACCATAGTTCGTCACCCCATGACCATTCTGCTGCAGTCAGCAATGCCAACAGGGACAGCGGGTGGGGGGCAGCTTTTCCTCTGGCACACAGTGGCTTTCCTGAATGGGCATCGGTAAAGGGTACCAGTGTGTACACAGTGTATGCATGCTTTCGAGAAGACTGGAGGTTTGCTTGCGTAGCTAGTTCTGTCTGCATAAACTTAGGCTCATGTGTGGGTTTTGACTGCTGTGTGGCATGTCTAGGAACATATGCTTTTTGTATACGTGAGGCACATGTGTGGGGGATCACTTCTCTGAGTAGCCTGTGGGTACATGTAGGTGGGGACAGCGTGAAGCAGTATATTTATGGGGTGGACATATCGCTTGTCAGGCATGTGGGAGTACATGTTGATAGAGGGTTTCTATGTGGGAAGGTGCGACTCTGGAGCAGAAGGTGGTAGGTAGGTGGAGAATGTGGGCAGAAGCCCCTGTCTGTGGGCAAAGTCGCGTGGATGTGCAAACCTGTTGGCATGTGAAGGCTCAGGGATGGCAGAGGGTAGCCAGAGACAAACACATTTTCGAAGTCTGAGTTTTTGAGCCTGGAGAAGGTTTGAGAGCGAATACCAGAATATAGTCAGAGGTTGACATGTGTGTGAATGTACATGTGTGTGCAAGCAGGCGTATGGGGTGCCTGCCTTCTGTGGAGGTGGCATGCATGCATGTTGGATCCTGTGTCTTCCTTTTCCCCCAAATATGGCTTGTAAGAAGGTGTACATGCATACGTGTGTGCGTGAGCCTGTGGACATGCACATGCGTGGGTCTGCGTGGAGGTGACAGCTTGTGAAGGGAGAATTGCGGGACATTCTTAGAATGTGAAGGGTGACGGGGGGGGGGTACCTGAGTGCGTAGGTGAGTGTGTGGGGGTGAGAATGTCTGAGGAGGTGTGTGAAGCCTGTGGGTAGAAGATGTGGGTGGGCATGCTTGGTGCATACATGTGCGTGTGCACACGCATGTGCTCGCCTGCGTGTGGGTGTGTGAATGCTTGTGTCAGGGTGGATTCGCACGGGAGTGTGGGTGTTCCTCAGGTGTTGTCTCAACCTGTCCCTCACACCCTGCCCTTCCCCAGTCATCTGAGCTTGGAGAACTGGGGTTCGTGCCCACCCGACTTCACTGTTCTCCCAGTGTCACTCACGGCAACTCTCCCAAGCTCACATGGGCAGTAGTCTCAGCTCTCCTAGAACTGTACCGGCGAAAGGATGAGCCAGGTCCTGGAGATACCATCACCAAGCCCGGCTGCTCTATCTCTGGGAGACTGAGGCAGGAACAGGTGCCCACCCAGAGGGTGGGTGTGGATTGGATTCCATGTGAGTGGGAGGCAGCTGTGCTGGTGTGCATGCGTGTGTTTGCATGTGTGTGTGAGGGGGGGCTCATGCGTGTTTCCCTGGGGAGCTCTCACTGGGCAACTCCCCATTGCTCCACACCTGTCCCTGTGAATTACAAACTGGTTTATTATAGCACAGGTGTTTCTAGACACCCAATCCTACTCTGTTTTATTTTGGGGTGAATCCAGTAGCACTGTCATGCTTATTTACCACAGGATTCCCTGTGCACGAAGCCACTGGCATTTGGCTGCACCTCACAACAGGCAGGCATACGCTTTAGGGTAGGAAGCGAAGATGAAACCAGGACTCAGGTCACACTCTGGGGCAAGGAAGGGCCATCACTCATATTCTTCCCCCCGTGCCTGCCACCCAGGCAGCCCACGGGTTAATTTAGAGGTGCCAGGGTATGGAGCAGGCTTAATTGACAGGCAAGTGTGGGTTGGATCTTCTGGAAGCTATAAATAGATGTACCTGCTTCTGATGGCACAAGGTACCCTCACCCTGAGCAGTGCCTGGGCAAGTGGAGGAGAGGAAGAGGGAAGGAGGTGAAATGCAGCTGACACTCCAGAGCTCTGTGGTGTGTTGGGACTGGGTTTGAGGAAGAACTGGGAGGCATGAGCTCGACTGGGTACCAAGCAGATGCCCTGGAAGGAAGTCCAGCCCACACTCATGCTCTTGTCCCAGAAACAGTCCTTCTCTGCCCCTCTCACGTTGCTCCCCGAAGCTCCAATGAGCCAGGCCAACGTCAGGGCCAGAGTCAGCGCTTCCTAGATAAGCGCAGGTAAGAGTGATGGTAGTGTGGTCCTTTTACACCTGGAAGAGCAGCCAGCGGAAGCAGCGAAGGAGTGAGAGGAGGAGGTGATAGAAAATGCCATCGCTTAAAAGAAAAGGACCGGGGGGGGGGGTTTTGTCACTTCGAGGGGTAAAAAGTCTAACTATTGCACTGTGTTGTACAGCTGAAACGAATTCTAAAAATGTGTATTTCATAATAAAAAATAATTTAATAAAAAAAGAAAGAAAAGAACAGAAGGGGGAAAAACAAATAACGGTAAAACCATGTGCACCTATGCATACACACATGCCACACACATGCCACATGTGACACACATACGCGCACACACACTCGCATGAGGGAACACAACCTTAGCTTTATGACAAGGAGTTTGGGCTCCAGAGTCAGATAGTCTGAGTTCAAATCTTTTTCCAGCTGTGTGACTGTTGGCATCTTAGTACCCCCAGCCTCAGCGACCACATCTGTAAAATGGGGATAATAATAGCGCCTACTATTGTGAGCTTGCAGGAGATGATGTTTGTGAAATTATTAGCACATAGTCAGCCTGCAATAGATGTCAAAGGTAAAACTAATTATTTAAAAGAGTCAAGCCACCGAGGATGTGCTGAAAGGGAGAGTGATAATGAAAAAGTTATGGGTGGGAGAAGGGCTGTGGCTTGTACTGCCCTGCCACCACCAAGTGGATCCAAGTGTGTCTCTGTGGCACATGACACAACTCCCAGCCCTGTGTCATGGTGACCTCTGCTGAGTCACCCCGGAGAGTCGGAGGGCCTGAGTTCTAGAGCCCTGGCACCCCTCCCGACACCCTTGACCTCTTGGCTGCTTGCTGCCCTCTGCCTGCCTGCACCCTCAAACCCATCTCTTCGATAGGTGCTTCCTGTCTCCCCTACGCCTCGCACTGTTCTCTCCACCCCCACCCTTTTCTGTTTTAACGCCTGCTAGCTGAGAGCCCCCTCCTCGGCTCCATCTGCTGCAAATCTGTCTTGCCTGGCGTTTGCAGCATTCCCACTGCCTCTGCCACCTGTCAGGTACCGTCTGCTCTGCAGACCCCTCTGAGGACAGCCAAGAACCCCCTGGGGGGGGCACACCCCATCCCACCTTCAGTCCCCCACTAGCCTTCCCTGTGCACTCTTTCCATCAGACTTGATAGAAAGAGGTAGGTGCCATCAATGGGTCCTCAAGTTTCCACCTCGCAAGGGATGTTAGGAGCAAGATGTTCCAGAAAACTCTGTGGTGGGGAGGGAGGTGCTGATTCTCCCTGTCCCCTCAGTCCCCACGGGAGCCAAACCGGAGGGGAACATGGAGCTGCTGTCCACACCCCACAGCATTGAGGTCAACAACATCACCTGTGACTCTTTCCGCATCTCCTGGGCCATGGAGAACAGCGACCTGGAGAGGGTCACCCATTACTTCATCGACCTCAACAAGAAGGAGAATAAGAACTCCAACAAGTTCAAGCACCGGGTGAGTGAGGGAGCCGGGAGCGCCTCTTTCTCACACCTGCTCTTGAAGGAGGCAGGGCCTACAGGTGATAGTTGTAGGTTTGAAGAGGCCTGATTCCAATCCAGGCTCTCTTTACTGTGTAAACTTGGGAAAATTCTTTAACCTCTGCTGAGTCTGAGTCCTTCACTGGTAAAAAGGGGATAATGATAATGCTATCCCCCGCAGGCTGGTGAAGGCTTCTGGGAGGTAACGTTTGTGTGGTGTTTGGCTCAGGGCCCAGCACACAATGAACACTGTTATCAACACCGTTATCAGCATCATGACTGGGGCTCTGCACAAGTGAGAAAAGCCGGGGCAGGGCCACGACATTGCACCTGGGCATGGCCCCCGACTCAGCAAGCAACCTTATTGTTGACTGGGTGGGCAACATGGGCCGTGGGCAAGGGTTGGGCCCTTTGCTGGGTCCTCAGAGGTCTCCCGCAGGCCCCCGTGATCCTCTCTGCCCCTGGCCCTCTGGCCTGTTTGCTGGGTTTAGAAAAGGAATGTGAGAGAGTACCCCACTGGCTGGGGTGTCCTTTTCCTGGGTTAAAGCTGCTTTGGGGGCGGGTGGGAGGAAGGCTCCCATCTTCTAAGCTGGCAGAGAGGCAGGGAGGAGATTGAGGTGGAAAGGAGCTGGTTCCCACGACGACGGCATCATGTGGGTTACTTGCCCTCTCTCTCTTTGGAACTGGCTCCCCCCCCCCAATCTGGGTGTCTTTTGGCAGGCCAGTTGCCACGGTGACGTGAATGTTCACCACCACCCCCTTAAACCTCCCCCCCAAAGAATAAGGCATATTTTCCCTTCCTCCCTGGCTTCTCAGCATTGGCCGTTGCCGTGGAGACAGCACTGCAGTGTGCTGAGCTCTCGAAGTCTCCCTCGAAAACGGAGATCTCGGAGGTCTTGCCACCCTCAACTTTTCAAGCCTCCACCCCAGCAGCCTTTCTCCTCAGTTCCCAAGAGAACCGGCATCAGAGATTAAGGAGGGGTGTAGGCTGGGGAATTGTCTGTATGGCCTTCCCAATGGCCACTGCTTGCTTCTGCAGGAAAACAGCAACCAGGGCTCTGAGCCATCGAATCCTTGAAACTCTGGCCCTCCTTAGGAGGCATGGGACCATCTGGGGATAGAGGTCTGAGGGAATGCCAAGATTGAGCATGACCCCCAGTTTGACTCTTGGCTCTCTGTCTGCACCCCATGTCTCAGGATGTCCCAACCAAGCTTGTGGCCAAAGCCGTGCCACTGCCCATGACGGTGAGAGGCCACTGGTTCCTGAGCCCCCGCACAGAGTACAGTGTCGCGGTGCAGACTGCTGTGAAGCAGAGCGACGGGGAATACCTGGTGTCCGGCTGGAGCGAGACGGTGGAGTTCTGCACTGGGGGTGAGGCCCTGCCGTCCTGCTGCTTCGGCACTTCGGTTTAGTTATGATCAGGAGGGGGCTTCTTCTTAACCCAGCAGACACCATGACCACCTGCTGTACACCAGCACCAGGCTTAGGCCGTCAGGGAGACACAGGTGGATGAGACCTGCCCCTGCCCTGCCAAAGCCTGCAGACTGATGCAGGAGGCAGATGTGAACACAGCTTATTATAGTGACAACACTACTTTCATGAAGGGATGGAGTCGCTTTTCTGGCTTGGGGAGAGCATATTTTTGGGGGGGATTGTGGTAAAATACACATAACATAAAAGTTACCATCTTAACCATTTTTTTTAAGATTTTTTTTAATTGGGGTATTGGGGGGAAGGGAACAGTGCTGGGGAATTGGGGGAAGGGGAACATACAAGTTGCTGTCATTTTGTTCTTCAGTCTAGTTGTGGAGGACGTTGCTTCACTGGCCCAAGTTGGCACCATCATTGCGCTCTTCCCGGGCAAGGCAGATCAGTCGCCGGCTTCTGGACGGCCGCTCACTGCGGCTGCTGGCCACTCACGCTGGCTGCTGGCTACACATGGTAGCCCATGGCAATCCACTGCCACAGGGGCTGCAGCCTACGCCGTTGCCGGCGACTCACGGGCAGCCCAGCTCCAGGTTGAGCTGTTGTTCAGCATCTTAGCTGTAGAGGGCAGTGTCACTGGCCCTCATATGTGGGATCCGAACCGGGGCCCTCTGGCATCCCGAGCCAGTTCCTAACCATTGCGCCACTCGGCCAGCCCTTAACCATTTTTAAGTGTACATTTCAGTGGTGTTAAGTCCATTCACATTGGGATGCAACTGGTCTCCAGAATTTTTCATCTTCCCAAATTGAAACGCTATACCCATTAAACAACAACTCTGCCTCTCCCCTTACTCCAGTCCCTACAACCACCATTTCTCTTTCTGTCTCTAAATTTGACCCTTCTCGGTACCTCATGTGAGGGGATTCACGCAGTATTCATCCTTCTGTGACTGGCTTATTCATTTAGCATCATGTCCTCAAGGTTCATCCATGTTGTAGCATGTGTCAGGATTTTCTTCCTTCTTAAGGTGGAATAATATGGCATCGTGTGGCTAAACTGCGTTTTGCCTATCAGTCGTTGGTCGATGGAAGCTTTGTCACATTTTGCTTGTCCTAACCTCCGCTTAGCCTGGGAAAATGGTCCTTATTCAGTGGTTGCCCAAACTCTCTTAGCAGAACTTAGCTTGGAAATTCCAGCATGAACAAACACCAGGCTCATGAGTACTTGTTCATTGATGACCCAGGATCTGCCCCACAATATTCCACTCTTTTGTGTCCATGGTGAGAATTGCCCCAGATCTCTCTCTGTCACAAGAAAGGGGGTGGGGGGACGTTCTTAGCCCTGGGCCTATGATGCTGCTGGCTCCACCCTCTGCCAAGGCCTGTGCCTCATCTCCTTGAGCTGCCCTTCTGTTTTGAGTGGTGAACTTCTCTTAGCTCGGCTGCGAACCCCACTCTCTGGAGGTTCTCCCACTCTCTGTGGGGAAAGCCTCTTGGTTTACCCCAGAACTCCATGTGTAGTAGGAGTTTAATTCAAACGGGGGAGCTGGGGATGGCTGCAGTCCAGACCACACTCCTCTTGTCAAACCCAGCACCCTGGCCAGGGCTGCATGAACAAAGAGGAAAGGGAATCTTTTCCTAATTTGTACAGAGGCGCTGTCTAGGCTAGCAGCAGCCCTGCTTGGGCCCCTGGTCTCTGGCCTCTGGCCCTCGCCCCTGGGAGGGTCTAGTTTCACTACCTTGTTCCCAGGTTTCTGTGTTTTTCCTGGGTTGCTGAAGTGGAGTCATTGCCCCAGACATGGTCTGTCTAAGCCTTCACCGCAGTTCTCCATAGGCTCTCCATGAGCCCCCACTTGTAATAACAACTGGCTTCCATGTAGTGGTGCAGGCAGCCTCCTACCTGCTGGGTTTGAGGGGCTTGTCGCTAAAGGACCTCAAATTCTCCCTTTCTTGGCCTTTCTTTTGCCTGCTGGTCCCCCTTTCACACGAGGATGGCCTGGGATTAGAGGCCCTGGAGCCCATCATGATTGCATAACTGGACAGCCCTGCCCCTTGTCTGACACAGAGCCCTGAGCCTCGGGCACTGAGGGCACAGACAGCATCTGGCTGGCCCATTTCCATGTGGTCCAAGGTGCTGTGGCTGTTTGGCGTCCCCTGCCTGTCTGAGCACAGAGGTGGGCTAATGTTCGCAGGGGGGAGGGGCTGCAATCCCCAAGCACTCTCGGCTCACCCACCTGCACTCTTACAGATTATGCCAAGGAGCACCTGGCACAGCTGCAGGAGAAGGCTGAGCAGATCGCAGGCCGCATGCTGCGCTTCTCCGTCTTCTACCGCAACCATCACAAGGAGTACTTCCAGCATGCCAGGTGAGCAAGGCCCTGCATGGCCCACCAGGTCCCTCCCCCCTCCCCCAGCTCTGCCTCAGCCACGCCAGGCTGTCTGACATCATCCCAACCCTGTCAGTTGCCAGACCTCTGCAGTGAGCTGCCATGCCCTCCCATTACAGGCTGGCTCTGGGTGAGTGGGTGTGTGGGAGGCCTCGTGGCCTGGGATTGGGCTCTGGGAAGGAGAGGGCACTCAGGATGGGGCTGCCTGGGGCACTGTACAACCAGGCCTGGGTGAGTGCTATCCTGGGTGGCATCCTCCTGGGGGCAGTTCCTGTTGCTGGGTTCTAATGCGGCAGGTCAGCAGCTATGTCTCCAGTTCAGGCCCTGGGTCCCAAGGGGAGGGGTCAGAGGGGCACAAAGTGTGAGTGGGTTCTGAGCATGAAGGGTCAGAGACCTCACATAGTGTCTGGGGAGCCTGGAGGTTCCAGGGCATGTCCCAGGCAGCCCTTAGGGTGGTCCAGGAAATGCAAGGATGAGGGTTGGTGGACCCCACACCTATCATTCAACCCAAGCAGCTTTAATTTTATTGCCCATGGCCCGCTTATGTATAATTTCCTTTGGGAAAAAAGAGATTGCATCTAAAAACGTTCGATCCAATTGACGATTCCATTCAATACCCTCAGCTTACATACAGGGAGCTTGAGGCCCAGAGGGCCAACAAGTCATTAGCCACTTAGACAGCCAGGACCAGGCAAAAGTGAGGCTGGACCTGGGGCTGCCCATCTTCCCCAAGCCTGCTGACGCTGCTCCAAGTCCATTTCCATGTAAGACTGGGCCAGGGCAAGCCACCGCCAGTACCGTCTTTATCATTGATTGCATCAACTGGGGTGGGCATTTTGACCCTTCTCCAGGCAACGGAGGCCTCAGGGGTTTTGGTGTTTGTACTCAAGAAAAGAGGCAGTGAGATGAGTGGTGTGGACTCTGGCCCAGTTTGGGGTCCTCCATCAGCAAGCAAGAAAGAGATAGAGAGCACCCATGTGTGCCAGGAATAAAGGCAGAGTCTTCCTCCTGAAAACCTCAGAGTCTATTGGGGGACAGTACCAACAGATGGAATGTCATAAGTGTGTGTGCTCATTGAGTAAAATTCAGTGTCCTGCACGTAGTAGGCAGTCAACATTTTGTTGAATGTACCTGATATTCCTGGGATGTTTTAGCGAGGAGGGGACACCTGTGCTGGGCCTTGAAGGATGAATAGAAGTTTGCCAGGCCAGGTGGCGAAAGCTGGGAAGGGCAATCCAGGCAGAGGGAAGAGCAATACAAAGGCACAGAGGCAGGAAAGAGCTGGGGCGGGGTTCCCATGCGGCTGGAGGATGTCAACTGTGGGTGTGGAGGTGGTAGGCGCTGGAGCCAGAAGGACCAGATCCTGACGGCTCTGCGTTTCACTCAAGCTCCATCAGAGCGTTTTATGCTGGGGAACAGCAGGTTCAGACCTCTCCTCTGTGAAGGAGTGGGCTGGCTCAGCCCGTCTCCAGGGCCCTCCCTGCTCTCACATTCTGGTATGTTCTATTTGTGACGGGTGGAGGCGGTGGCTGGTGGGAGAGCCAGGAGCTGGGCTGGCTCCCTTTTCATCACGCACAGCAGCCAAGCCTCTGCCCAGCTAACCAGTGGCATTTTCTCTTCCTTTTGGCATTTTCCCCGGGGTGGGCAGGACCCATTGCGGGAACATGCTGCAGCCTTACCTGAAGGACAACAGCGGCAGCCACGGTTCCCCCACCAGCGGCATGCTCCACGGAGTCTTCTTCAGCTGCAACACGGAGTTCAACACGGGCCAGCCCCCTCAGGACTCTCCCTACGGCCGCTGGCGCTTCCAGATTCCCGCCCAGCGCCTTTTCAACCCCAGCACCAACCTCTACTTTGCAGACTTCTACTGTATGTACACAGCCTACCACTATGCCATCCTGGTTCTGGCCCCCAAGGGCTCCCTGGGGGACCGCTTCTGCCGAGACCGCCTGCCCCTCCTGGACATTGCCTGCAACAAGTTCCTGACCTGCAGTGTGGAGGATGGGGAGCTGGTCTTCCGCCATGCCCAGGACCTCATCCTGGAGATCATCTACACTGAACCCGTCGACCTGTCCCTGGGCACCCTGGGAGAGATCAGCGGCCATCAGCTCATGAGCCTGTCCACTGCCGACGCCAAGAAAGACCCCAGCTGCAAGACCTGCAACATCAGTGTGGGCCGCTAGGGACTCCTGGGGAGCTGCGGAGCTAGGGAGAGATGACAGGCAGGGCGCAGTGGGTGGCATAGGTTCAGGGAGCTGGCTTTCTCTCCCCTATCACCCTGCTCCCTCCATGCCTTCGGTCTCCCCCTCCCTCACCCCTGGGCATTAGAGGCAGCAGAGGGTGGTCCCCTTGGTAGGCCTGATAGACCTGGAAAGGCTCTTAGCCTCTGTAGCTTGGTGGGGGGTTGGATTTCTGGAGACTTCCCCTTTCCTCTGGTTTCCCAGTCCTGCTGTTTCTTGCTTTCTCCCAGGCCTCCATCTCATGGAGACTTGCGGCCTTCCGGGCCTTCCAGGCCAAAGCCCATGTGTAGCTTGCCTGCCTCCAGAGGCAACACGGAGAGCTGTGGGGTGCTCTTCCTTAGCCCCACCCACCCCACTCAGGTCCACCACAGGATGCCCCTGCCCACTCAGCTGGGCCTGGGGGCTTCCCACTCCAGGTCTGGCCCCGTCCCTCTATAAATAATCTCCTGCACTGCTGTGACCCCAGCTGCTCCTGACCCAAAGCACCTCCTCCTGCATGGGGAGAGTTGTCCCTTCCCTTTCCCCCATCTTGTCACCTGCACTCAGAGGCCCTCTTTTTCCTCTTGGCTTTGGGGCATCCAAGCTGTTGGAGTTTTTCGTTTCATCTATCTGAAGATGACAGAGACCCCAGCAGACTTTCTCTCTTGCTCAGAGCACTGGGGCCTGGAACGGCAGCCGCTGGGGTTGAGGAGGGGGAAAGAGACCCCTGAGACCCAGAACAGCCCCTTCCTTAGGCAGAGCATGGGCTGCCTTCCACCCTGAGGGGACCTGGTGTGGAACTAGGCCTAAGGGCTTTCTCGCAGAGCCCCGGCACCTGCCTGGCTGTGCACTTTCCTTGCTGTCTCTGCCACGGTGCCGCGACTGCACTGTGCCTGTGTGTGATCTGGACTGTGGCTTCCCCGCCACCCCACCTCGTGCCCCTGCCCACTGGCGCTGTCCCCGCCACCCCCTTCCTCGAGCCTATTGGCGGAGAGCCCCTTCCCTGGGGAACTCTTGTTGAAGACTTTCCCAGGCCTAATAAGTGTTTTTACCTATTTCCTACTTTTGTACGGGTCATGAGGGTGGTGAGGGTGGACCCCCTGAGACAAGCAGACCAGGTGGGGTGACGGGGAGAGGTGTCGATGGAGGCAACTAGCTATTGGGGGATGACGGAGGTGACGTCAGGCAGAAGAGAGCAGCCTCCACAGTGACAGCCAGATTTCTGTGATGAAGGACAGAAGGAGCCCGCAGGCCAACAAGGCCATATCTCAGTAAGGGGCAGGTGAGGCAGCTGGTCGCCTCTTCTGTGGCCACAGGGAGTGCTGTGGTTAGCTGTCTCTGTGGCATGGATGAGATCAGGGGGGCCTGGGAAATGCGTGGAGAAGGAGAGGACAGGGGCCCCCAGGCCCTTTCCCCCTCTGCTGGCAGCGTTGCTGTGGGGGTGGCTCGCTGCCCTCCCCTGGCCCGGAGTCTGCCCCTGGCTGGGGCATGCCCGCCTGTGCTGTGCTTGCGTTGTGCATCAATAAACCACCATGGCCTGAGAGCTCCGCCTCTCCTTGGGCTCTGGAAGGGTAGGTGGGCAAGTTATATAATCATAGAGGAGCTCACATAGGGATGGCCCCAGGACAGGCTGCCCAGAACTGTCTCCAGGGGTGTTCCAAATCTTGCTACGGGAGGTGGGGCTCAGGAAGCAAAGCCACATCCCCAGCCCGGAAAGGACTTGGGAAGTCATTTGGACCTACTCTGTACTTTGCAAGTGGGGAGACAGGCCTCTTAGGGAAAAACCGGTAGGAATCTGGAAGCCTAGCCAAGGTCCCCAAGCAGCCCCCCCACACGCACACATGGAGCCCTTCCCACTGCAGCGTCAGACCCAAAGGCCACTGACTTTCCTTCCTCCAGAGCCCGTGTCCCCTCCCCAGCAGGGCTTCTCATTTGCAGATCTGTCACCTCTACATTTATTATTATAGACTTATTAAAATGACCCTCTTCGGGAGTGGAAAGGTTCCAGAAAAATCAGAGTCACCTCTCTGACATTGCCCGGCTCAGGGCCAGCGAACACGTGTCACCCAGAGCTTGAGCACAGCCTCCTGGGGCTAGGAAGGAGAGCTGAAGGGCAAAGGACCACTTCCTGAGGACCTACTATATGCCAGGCATCGCGCCAGGTTCTTTCATACATCAGCTCATTTAGTCTTCACAATGGCCCTGTGCTGTATTTCCATTTACCAGATGAAGAAATTGAGGTACAAAAAAGTTAAAAGGTTTGCCCATGTCTTACAGTCAGTAGGTCACAGTGGTCAGAAGCTGGAGTTTTCCCATTTCACTGCCCTGTGTCCCCTAGTGTGTGCCAGGTCCATTTGAGACAGTAAGACCCGGCAGTACCCATCTCAGACAGTGACCCTCCCAAGGGTCTCCTACATCTCTTCCAAGGCCATGCCTAGCTCCTGAATAACACCAGGGGGGGATGTGGAGTCACAAATGGCCCAGGAGGCTGATTTGAAGAGGTTTGGGCATCAGCTGGAGTCCAGAATTCCCAGGACAGGGAGTGACCACCAGGGTACATCCTTCCACCACCACCCCCGCCGCACCCCACTAACTGAGTGTCCTCCAGAGGCACAAGCTTCAGTCTTCCTTTTTAGAACCCTTCTGGTTTTCTTAGGAGGAGAGATTGGCTCCCAGTGTCCTTAGTGGGGGATGAAGGCAGCCAGCTGGCTGCACTGGACGGAGTGCGGTGTGCAGGTTTCCTCCAGAGAGCCTGCTCCTCCGTCTTCTCTCCAGATGGCCGCTTTCTGGCGCCCACCCACCCTGGCTGCTGGAAGTGTCCATCAGACCAAACTGGGTCAAGGTATCTGTCGGAGTCTGCCCTCCGGCTCCTTATGGCCTGTGTCCCTCTAATAGGAGTGAGGTCTGTGTGGACACACACACACACACACACACACACACACACACACACACACACACCTTCCCTGGGCTGGATTTAGAAGGCAGCTTTGGTGACCACAGAGAGCTGCAAGGTGAGGGACAACCTTGGACTGCAGCTGCCACTGTCCAGCACAGGGACCCCGAGTTGGCCCTGCTCCAGTGCAAAAAGGGAGGGAAAATGATGGGGTGGCCACCAAGGGGCACCTCTGAGTTACAAGTGGGGTGTCCTGCTGTGCAGGTATAGACACGTAGAAACAGCCAACACATATACATGGCCACATGCACACTAATGCTCCCATCTCTCTCTCTTCCCCGCCCCCCTCCCCCTCCGCCCAGACACTTACACTTCCCTGCCAGTTCCTTTCCTCCTGTGCCAGCATCTTTCTTTGAATCCTGGAGGGATGACAGGCCCCTCCACCCCAAGGTAGTGGGAGGGGAGTTGCCCGCTCTGAGGACCCTGACAGTGTCATCTGGCTTCGGTTATGTGTCTTTTCTCCATGTTAGGAAAAGAGATGGCTGGGGTCCCAAGGAGAGGGACAAGAAGGGACTATTCCCCCAAAATGGAGGGAGGCCTTCAGGAAGCTGAGCTGAGGTGATTGGCCATAAAATAGCTTGGCCACAGCATCTGCAGGAGATTGGAACCAGATGTTCCTGGGATGGGGGAGGGGAGGGCGTGGGGCTGGGAGGGGCTGGAGCAGAAGCACACTGGTCAGCAGAAAGCTGGGTTGGGGGCCTCGTGGATCTCGGGGTAAACATCTGGCTGTCCTCTCCGCCCCCCCCCCAGCCCCCCAGAAGTCAGGCACTACTATTTTTGCAAACTGGAACAGCAAACCTTTTCACGGATTCTGGAGTCAGCCCTGTGTGTCGGGACAGTCAAGCACAGGGTGTGACTTGGGAGGTGCCCAGAAAGGCTACCAGCTAGCCAGAAATATGTCTTCTGCTTCCCAAGCCCCGCCTTGCTGTGGGTTAAGCATTGTCCTCTCTGGCGGGAGTGGTTCTGTGCTAAGCTCCTGATGCCCGAGTAGAAACTCATGTACCCAGAAGTTTCCTTATAGCAGAGGAAGAGAGTTGTTCAGAAACTGGAAAACTGTCTGGCAGAGGAAAAGAAAAGAAGGCCCATTTCTGGAGAGCCCCCTGGTTTGCCTGGCACGGGGACACATTCCCTTCAAAGGTTATCTCATTCCTCCCTTGAAACCCTGTGAGGTGCCACCATCCCATGTGTTTAGATGAAGAAACCAAGGCTCAGAGTGGTGAAATGACTCACCCAGGGACACACAGCACTCAAGTGGTAGAGCTTGTGTTCAAAACCGGCTGTGTTTGCGTTGAAGCTTGTGACACCTTTTGTGGTGTGAAGGGGAAGGGAAGGGAAACGGAGAGAAAAGGGAGTGGTGAGCAAGCAGTGCAAGGGCATCAACTTTCCTGCTTCTACAGTAGAGCCAACACTTGGCCCTGGAAGCCCCCACCGCTGCTGAGGGCCCCAGTCCTCAGGCTTCCTGGAGACTGGAAGCTGGATTTTCTCCTTGGCTGTGGCAGGAAGGGCTGCTGGGGAAAGATGACAGACAGGCTTAGGGAACGGAGGCCCAGGGAGGGGCAGCTGGCCAACGTCACAGGGCAAAGCACAGCAGAGCCAGGTCTCGATTGCCAGACTGGTACTGTCATCCTGTCCTCCCAGGGCTAGAGAGGTGCTCCCAGAGGGAGGAGACGGAAGTGCTGGGGTATGTGGTTATCTCAACCTAGTTATCTCAACCTGATTACATGGGTTGGGAGCACAGTCTGGGGCAGGTCCATCTTAGCTCTTTCACTGCCAGCTATGTACTTAGGATCCAGGGGGACCCAGGGGAAACTCAGGGCCTTGGAGACAGTTGGAGCAAGGGTGGTTTCCTCTGACGCACAATCACCTGAGTCGATGGGTGGCTGAGCTGGAGTCGGTTTAGTTTAGAACCCGAAGCAGCCAGGTGAGGGCGAGCTGGGCCCTGAAAACACATTAATTAAATTCTGGAATATGTATCAATGGCTGGCAGCCAGCTCCTAAGCAGATTCCACCGCCAGGTGGCAGCCTCTGAAGATGGAAAGACTGGAGGGCCCAGCAGCCCAGATCCCTGAGTCATTAGAGAGGTCCACGTCCATGGTAATAATGGTCTTGGGACAGTTGCCGAGGAGGGGGTGGGTGGGCGGGAGCTGCACGGGGCAATCCTGAGCTGCTTCGGCTGTGGTGTTTGTTCCCAGGAGCCCTGTTTGGGGTGGGCCGAAGCCCCACAGTCTGGGTTAGGTTATGATCCTGGCTCCTTCTGGACATGTGGCTTGTGAACAGGCAGTGTGGTTCTCTGAGCTTCAGGGGAACCTGGAGGGCTGGTGAGGAGAGCTGTGACCACTGACTACAAATTCGACTGTGGAGGAGCTGATGCCAAGTCGGTTGGCACAGTGTCTAGGTGAGATGCCCAGGCATCTCCAACAGTTTGGGGGCCTTGCCATTCTGCTCATGGCCCTCCAGGCTGTCCTGAGTACCCTAATCAGAGGCGGTAGAGGCATGGAGGGGTGGCTGTGACATCATAGCTTGTGACCTCACTGGAGCATTACGCAGAAACCCCCTCTGGCCATGGCTCACTTCCTCGCAGTGCTTCACAGCCTCACCTGCCATCAGGACCAGAAGACAGGGCTACAGCCTGACCGTGGGAGCAATTGGCTTCCTGGAAGGAGAGAGTTCTGTGTGTATATCAGCAATGTGTCTGGTTTCTGCTGCTGCTTTCTGCTCAAAGGGTTAATATGGGGTGCATCATGCCACAGTGCTCTCTGGGTGCGGGTCCCCCCACATAGTCCTGGCAACATCTGGCACAACACCTGCCCCTGCTATAGTAGGAACTTGGGGCCAGTAAAAGACCTATAAGACCTATAGTCCCACTGAAGGCTCTCAGGGAGCCGGAGGGCGGGGGTGGGGGGTTGGAGCAGGCTGCCAGGTCTCTTGGGAATCTGGGCATGGCCAGCCCGGGTATAAGAACCTGGGTCCGCTCTTGACTTTCTTTCCCTGTGAGATCCATGTAGAGAAAGGGGAGAGAGAGGCTCCTTTGAAGGAAAGGAGCAGGGATGTGGTTTCTCCCCTCACGGCGTCTGGGGGGAGACAGGTCCGAGCCTCCCCGCTGGCTGGCTGGGAGGAGGAAACCAGACAAGACAAGACACAGCCTTGGGTTGCCTTGGGAGAGGGGGCCAGAGCTGGAATGTTTGCTTAGTGTCTGGCTCTTGTCTCCCTAAGAGAAGGACTCACGGGGGCCAGCACTTGATGTCTGACATTCAGGAAGGTAGGCACTGGGGCCAGCTCTGGCTGGTGCCAGTTTTCTGGCTCCTGGTGAGCTCCCCTCGCTGGACACCCTTACAGACCCCCTACTGCTCCCCCAGACTCAGAGACAGAAAACCCAGATGGACGCTGGATGGACAACACAGGCCTATTCCTTTGTAGACCTCCTCCCTTCCCACCGCACGGCCTTTCACAGAATGTTCCACCCCTCCCGTTGTGTGGGAGGGCTGTGTGCAGCGTGTGTATGTGGTGCACCCGCAGGCTGACGTGTGCGAGGCGGCTATGTTTGTGTGTGCCCAAGTGTGAAATCACACCCTAAGGTGTCCTGAAATAGA